AATATGAAAGTTTTACTGCGTATATATTTATTCAAAGTATGTTTAAAATAAATGTATTGTGAAAACTAAACACTAAACATTATATTTGATATTCTCGAATTTAAATTTTGGTACATCGTACATACCTAATGAATCAATATTTTACTGAAATATTTATTACCTACCTATCTGCCACATGTTAAATAATCCTATTTTCGTCGACATCGACAACATCAGTACCTAGGTAGACTCGTACAGTAGCGTATCCAGAATTTTTTTTCGGGAGGGGTTATAATTTATTTTTGTGGAATTTTATCTTAAAATGATTTATTAATGATAACGTTGTTATAATTTAGCAATTTTCGGGGGGGGGTTACAACCCCCAAACCCCTCCCCTGGATACGCCACTGGACTCGTAGACTAGTGGACTCGTAGACTAGTGGACTATTGTAAAAAATAATCTCGGATCACAATATGTGTTAAATAATAGTTAACAATTTATTATATTATATTACTATATTAGTATTCATAATATTTATAATAATAATTATAAACAAAAATGTTTCTTTTCAAAAAAATTGCCTAACCTATAAGTATATATAGGTACGACCTGAATACTCGTATATCCCTGTTAACAAAGTAAACCAAACAATATTATTAATATTGTATTCTATATTTCTGTGTACTTGCGGTTAATTATTATTATTATTGATGTCACTCTGCAGGATGATCAACACGCTCATTTACTACGGCCTGTCTATGAGTTCGGGTTCAATAGTGGGAAACCGGTACGGGAACTTCATTCTGTGCAGCCTGGTTGAAATCCCGGCGTTGTTCTTAGTGATCAAGATCATGAACAACTGCGGCCGGAGAGAATCGCAATGTGCCACGCTCCTGGTGTGCAGTACTCTATGCATTTCAATCGCGTTCGTCCCAAAACGTAATTATTATTTATTAATATAATATTATTATTCAGCGACCACTAAGCGAGCGTTTCTTATTTTTTTTCTACTGTCATACGCTTATAATTTGGGAATTGGGGGGGATCTATAGCCCCCCATATAACATCACACTATTTCACCTATGTAATGACTAATGATCACATTACCTATATACTTTATACTTGAGTCACTGTAGATTTCTTATTCACTGGGACACCGGGTCCAGATAGATGATTCGGGAAACAGTGGCGACGTGGCGTAGAAATGAATTCTGAAATGGGGGGATCAAAAAAAGAAAACGAAATACCTAAATGGGAGAGGAAAATTGGAAAATCCCCCACCCTCTCAAAAATGTTTACTGAGGTAGTAAACTATTTAACAATAAGGAACAATGAATATAATTTGAATTGATTCAAAATTCACATCAAATACAATATGGAAGATTATCCACTCCAAAGCCATTGGGACGGGATCTGACCCCACGACCCCCCTTGTATACGCCACTGTCAGGAAGGGGAGGGAGTATACATACCCAGGGAATCACAAAATTCAACAACCATAATAAACCACTATAAAAAAAAGGCCATTATTTATGTACACAGGTATTAGGTACCTAATATACCGTCGTATGTATAAATGTATAATCTATTCTCGGGGACTTAATATAATTATTGATTAGAAAATTCAATAATTTTATTGACTTATTAACATGCAGAGGCCCAAAATTCCAACGAGTTTATAGAACAATAGTAGGTACCAATAATACATATTATGGTATTTCAAAGAAGATATTATCTTTGGGGGGATGCACACAGGCTAATTTTATAATATGGACTTGTTGTTGTCTACGATTGAGATATACCTACGATCTAAACGCCATACGTATCGTACAACGATATATTATTATTTATTATTATTATTGACAAACTGTATGATGAATTAATATTGTCTTATTTTTAGACGCGGTCATCTTAAATGTACTCCTGTACCTGATTGGAAAGTTTTCCATAACCATTTCGTTCGTAATACTGTACATGTACACCGCCGAAATGTTCCCAACGGAAATCCGACATTCCCTGTTCGGCATATGCTCCATGTTTGGCAGGATTGGTTCAATGGTGGCACCACAAACTCCATTATTAGTAAGTAATAAGTATACCTATGTATAATTGGATATGTAGCATACAATAGGTATTGACGCCTTATTGTGGTTCATAACGGAATGTAGGTATTTATTTCAATTACTTATAATATTATATTATATTTCACATGTTATAAATTATAATATAGATATAATGGTAATTTTACAAATTGCATATGTTACCTACAATTCAGTACAGTGGGCACTACACTCTGTAGATCTTGGTATAATATTATACACACAATATATATAGACAATAAATGTAATCGATGATCTCTAAATAACAATTCCTCTGATAGCAACAATACCTAGTAGGTACCTACCTACTAAAGAAGTACCTAATAGGTATTAGGTATATACAATTTTGAAATAAACTGTATTAAATAAATGTATGTATTTTATTACAATATCCATAGGTCATAATCATAAGTGTAACGTGTCCTTTAATCTTCAAAGTTTGAGTTTTATCTAAAATTAATTTTTCATACACTGATTAGTGATTATCCAATTTCTTTTTTAAGCAAGTCAGGTTTCCCCCCTGTATTGCTTCCCTAAAATTTGTAAAGAAATTTTCACTAGGAAATTAATTTAAATTTGGTAGAGATTTTATCTGCCTAGAATAAGGTAGGATACTATTTTTATTTTTACTCATAAATTAATCCCATAATAGCTAATAGGTATGTGGCTGGTATGTATAAAAACAGTTAAGAGAATCATCATGCTCATTGCTTGTCAAATTATTAATTTCAACATGTCATTAATAATTATTCTATGATTATGTTCAGGTTACTTATTTCGGCGAATTGTCACCGTTACTACTCTTCAGCGTATCTGCTCTACTGTCTGGATTGCTTGCACTACTGTTTCCGGAAACTCTCAATAAAAAAATGCCGGACACAGTTTTGGAGGCCGAACAAATTGGAAACTCCACCAGTTGATTTACCTACGACGTCAGACTGTAAATTTTTTTAAAAAGTGCATTGCTATATCTTAAAAAATCTTAAGAAAAATTAAACGTCAATTTAATTTATTTACATAATAATTCATAAATTACTTTGAAGTTAGTTTTATTGTGTTTAAAACAAAACATCAATACTCGATAAATTTATATTGATGCATATGTGTATATGTGTAAAGTGTTTTTGTTTGGATAACATTTTGACATACATACACATAATAGATTCGTGTAATGTAATGTATTGAAAAATGTGTTGTAAGACTTATTTAAAAAACAAAACTCAATATATTTTACACTATTTTAATGTGGATTTACTTTAAACATGTTCTTGTGTAATGATGCTAAATAAATTGTATTGTTCAACCGTACAATTATTATCACTATGTATTCACTATACAGTATTTTTTATTATTTTTATTTTTTTTATTCATGTTACAGCTTCAACTTATAAGGTTATTAGCTTACAAAAATAAATAACTATTAATATTACAAAAGCGTTAATACAATTTAGTGTTTAGTCAATTGAGTTTTATATAGTGAAACCTCTAAATACCAAACACCCTCAATCACTGAACTTTTGTCTGCTATTTAGAGGTGTCCGCTATTCAGAGAGTTAAGTTGGTAGAAAGTTTTTTGTTTGTTTCCAAAAAAAAACGTTCACATAGATTTTCCACATAATTATCAGTACATTCTTGCAAGAACCTATGGGCGTTTTAAAATAATTCTTAGGATACCTACCTCAGTAAACAGGTAGTTATGTGCGTTGGCTCAAAAAAAGCATTTTCATTAGAGCTTGAGTTTGTACTCATTTTTCTGTAAACATTTCTTTTAGGTTTTATTGGTTGCTGCAGGGTATTAATTTCTGAAATTTTAGGGAACGTATTGGTTGGTTGTGGGGCTGGAGTGTTAGGACTTAAGTGATTGTGTGTTACGAATGACTACAGTAGAAGTGCATTTAACATATTATAGCCATATAGATTATAGATACATATCTATAATATGTATTTATATACTTATGTCTCAGAATTGGTATGTAGGTAACTTAAATGTATTTTGTGTTTAAATAATTTGAAAAAATTTTCAAATAAAAGGGGGAAACTAGGTGGGCACACTCGAATTTCCTGCAATTTGACTTTCAATTTAGTTATCAAGTTCACGGGTTGTGTCTCGACGAAGTTTCTCAATACTAATTTTGAAAACTGTTTAGGTTAGTTCATTTACACAACAATAATTATTGAAATTATTGAAATTCGATTCTCCATAATACTATTGTTTGGAGATAAGGTAAACATAAGCTCTACAATAACTGTTGCCCATGTATGCGATCATGGTAAATGCCGTCGCCGCTGGGAAAGAATCCTACTCGCCGAACAGAGAGGGCAAATAATAGATTATTGAACTGCAATGGATTCATTTTGATTTGGAAAATGCCTAATTGCCATTAAATCATTTTTAAAACAAAATAAAACATTGGGCAGGAAAGTGTTATTGATAATAATGTTGGTTTTAAAGGTCAATCATGTTGAAACAGCTTAGAATTGCCAAGAGTTGAGTGGAAAGAACATTGACTTGTCAAGATTAGGCTGCTTTTTAACAGTTTTTAATTACCTATTCAAAGTTTAATTTTATTTAATAATAGTTATAATTTATTTTTGATAGGTACCCTAACCTAAGTTATTCATATTAAGTGAATACACTTTTAAGTTTAAATACTTTTATGATCTAACTATGATCAGACAAATATTCTACATAATAAGTAATACCTAGGCTTATAAGAATTCCTATAATTAAATTGACACTACTATTAAAAGTGTACAGACATAATAGAAACTCATTTTACAAAAATAGTCTTCTGATATTAAATAAATTATACAATTAAATTCAAAAAATATTTTATTATTATTTAATAATATCTTGAAATGTGATTAATGAACTTTTGAATACTACGAATAATTAACAATTATTATATAACTTACTAAAGTTATTGTATGCCAGTCAGTTTTTGATTAGATTCAAAATAAGATTGTTCAGTAATAAATGAAGGTAATTGACTCATTTGTTTGTAAGAAGAATTACATTCTCTCATATTTTCTAACACATATTGGAGATTCCAATGTTTCATTAGGAGTGCTTGTTGAATGGTAAATGACGAATATCTTATACAGCGTATAGCAGTACATGTTGCTGAACATCTTAACTTAAGTCCTATTTCATGGACTAATGATAGTAAATAACTCTCATATTCATTAATAACATTAACTTCTGAAATTTGAAAAATAAAATAATTATTAGGTAGTTGTATAAGCTTTACGATTTTATAATGTAATTAAGTAATATAGCGTTTATGATGTTTTTTTAAGAATTTTTAATGACATTATATACAACTTTATATTGTGAGAAAATTTTTTTGTTTTGTACAAAAAAAAAATATTTCAAAATTTGGATTTTTTATACCGGCTAAAGTGCACTTTACCACCCCATGCATATTTTTCGATTTTTTTTTTTTGGAACTTATGTAACTCATCGAGTTAAGAACGATGGTGCAATCAGAATTTGTCGCTCTCACTTAGTTTTGAAGTTATGGTCCTTGGAAGTAAGCAATTTTGAGTTTTTTTACGCATGAGCGCAACGCTACGTGTCACGTCTTTAGCGATTTTTTTTTCTTATTCGTGAGACTACTAAATAAAAAATAAACGAGTGAACGAACACGGGACTAAGAGAGGTCAACTTCACTAGAACGCAGCACTTGACGTAATGACATTTTAACTGTGTATTAAATTATAGTTTCTTTAATAATATAATATAATCTAAAATCGTATTTAGAATTGAATGATTATTATAATTAATTATTATCAGGTAGGTAGGTACCTACTATAGGTATAATGCAAGAATTTATTTAAACCAGATTGACTATTTCTACTTCCAGGAGAGGAATATTTTTAATTGTGAAAATGCAATTTTCATTTTGAAAAATGCAATTTTCTTAACCCTGTGACCCACTTGGGGAGGTGTTGCATAGCAAATCGGGGGATATTTTCGTTTTTAACTGTCCGAGCGAGCGCAGCGAGCGAGTGGCCCCGCTCGGTGATTTGGTGCAACAAAAATGCAATTTTCTTAACCCTGTGGCCCACTTTGGGAGGTGTTGCATAGCAAATCGGGGGATAAATTATTATTGCACTATCGTTTTAAACAGGTTAGAATACGTAAGTACAAAAAAATAACAAAAATAGTCCCCGCGCTACATTATAGAGTAGTGTTGCGCGCATGCGTATAGACGTAAAATTGAAAACTTTGGAAGGCCATTACTTCGAAACTAAGTGAGAGCGACAAATTCTGATTGCACCATCGTTCTTAACTCAATGAGCTACATAAGTTCAAAAAAAAAAAATCGAAAAATTTGCATGGGGTGGTAAAGTGCACTTGTTCCTTTATACCTATTCATTTTTCCACAAAGAACTCGGTAAAGACCTTATAGACTCTAGCTCTCATTCAATTTTAATACTTACCAATAATGAAATTCGGTAAATCTAGACTTATGCATTTAATTCCATAAATTAAAGGATTTTTGGTAGATGCTGGTCGAATCAACCCTTTTGTAGCCAAATCATACGCTGTTTGAGTTTGAGTGTCTACATTGGCAAGCCTACAATTTAATGTAGGTAAGTAGGTACATTAAGATAATTAAATAATATTATAAAAATGTATACTCGTGTAGTTACTCAAACATCTTTTTTTGATTTGATGCCTGTATTGTAGACATAAGTTTATCAACATTTTCACGTTTAACAAAATCAAAACGTCCCTTCTCAACAACTTGGCCATCAATGTACATATTCTTGGTCATAATTCCCAATTGCCCATGTAAATGATATGTTCTCAATGGATAGTTGTTTTGAAGATTTCTTGCCATTTTGGTACCCTTATTTAGTCCAATCACTTAAAAAAACAATTTTTAAATAAAATAAATAACAATACAGATATGTAATGAACCTTAAAATTAGTCATACCACAAACGCCTGATACACGCTTTCCCAAATGAGTGGTCCAAATACACTTAATGTCTTGGGTTTGGTACCTGGGACCAACGACAAGTACATTGTCTGCATAACTGGACTCTACTTTTACATTCAGTTCTTTTGTTGTGTCACCGGAAATGACCACACGATTTTCTGGAGATCTAACACCGCATAAATTCAACTCTATAATAATATAATACATGATCACGTCTACAATGCTTTATTTGTTGTTAATCAGCTTCACTTACCTTGTGTTAACTTTAACAGTAATGAATGACGACAACCACTTAGGTGTACTCCAGCCGGTTTATACAAACACACAATACCATTCAAAAGTCTAAATGCTTTTTCACTAGTCGACAGACTATTCATCTTAAATCTCTATCGTAGATTAGAAAAAGTTTAATTTTACAATAACAACATTAATGATGCTGTACAAAACAAAATAAAAATTATGGCTGTTCGTCTTTTAGTTGCATTTACAACTTGTAATTTAAACATGGAACGGCTGGGAATCAGAATCAAAAAGTTATAACTTATAAATCACGGATTAAGAGAGAGAAATGAAATGTGAAATTGTAATATTTTGAATTCACATTTTTGTGAATCGTGATCTTTAATAATTGCAGACACAAGTTAAGATAATACTTATTTCATGATTACAGACATGGACTTCTATCACTAATATCTATAATGTTATCATTTGCCCACTGACAGAACGGTCGGATACTTTGATAATATTGTCGAATTAAGGCGGCCATGTTTTTGGAGGTAACTGTTTTCATATTTGTAAATTTGTTTACAATTTAGTGATAATAATATTCAAACATTTCCTTAGATCATAATATACAATGTACATGATCTAAGAACATTTCTAACCGATTACACATCTTTTCACTTTGTTGATTCACAGTTGATTCAGTTTAAATTAATCGTTTATTTTCTAATATAAGAATACCTACCTAATATATAGTTAGTGTTCGTAATCATGGTACTCGTGTGTTTATTATTAATCATGTCACTTTGAAATTTGTATCTATTATTCTATTGACCATTCTGTGTTTGTATTATGAACTTTTAAAAACTATTAATTATCTAACTTGAAATACAGTTAAAATTGAAAACATATGAAGTAGCATAATTTATTTTTTCCTACTGGTCACACTGATTTTTCCTCCAAAAACATGGTGTACTGATTTTCACACCAGCCTATGGTGACTGTGTTATTTCTTATCAGTGTCCTTTCCGATTGTTCTATACTTCTATTCTGTGACAGAAATACAGAATACAGAACCAGAACTCAGAATCAGTATTCACTATTCAGTCTGCAGTAGTGCAGTCAGAACTCAGAATCACTCAATCACGATTAAACCACAGAATAATATATGAATTCTGAAGATGTATCTTAAATAGTTGAATCTCTAATCGTGGTCAGAATGCTTGTTTAGATCATGTATTCATGTTTAACATTTTTTGTATGCTTTGGACTTCGGGTCTAAGATATATCTTAGTCCGTTAGCCTATAGTCTATTGAAAAATCTATACCTAACAATTTATTATTTATCATTTAATACAGTATTGTCATTCTCTGGCTATTGTAGTATTGTATTAGGTTACAAGTTATAACTTACAAGAGTAGTCTCTGACTAGTGCAGGATACAAGTGTTTGAAAAATACTTAAAATGCCTGTTTCGTGCGCTGCATGCGCAAACAGGTATAAAGTTGGACAGAATATACATTTCTTTCGGTAAGTTATATTGCGATACAATTAGTAAAGATATGAGAAACTTAAATAACAAATCAATGGTTTTTGCCACTTTTTGGTAATTACTAATTAGGCATAGGCACAACTAGACATTTAAACAAGGGGGTGCTTAGCTAAGGGATTTTTTGTGACTCAGTGGGAACTAACACCATTATTTTCCTAATATGTAAGCAAGTAAACACAACCACTAAAACGAAACAAAAACCACAGATATGGGCCCACACAGGACATTAAAAATTATTTTTAAAAACGGAAACAAAACAAAAATCATACCTACTTGGTGTGATACAATATTATATTATAAACAATGCTATTCTGTTATAATTGTAATTCGATAAATTATCAACTTTTAGTTTCAAAGTTTTAAATGATTTTTTAGGGGGTGCTAAAGACCCAAAACACCCCCTCCCGCCACTAGTTGCGCCAATGCAATTATTACCTATTTAGCTAGGTACTTTTAAGTATATAATTTATACTAGAGGACGCTACACAGGTATTTGTTGTCTCCGTCTAGTGAAAGTTAAACATAGCAAAGTTACGCTCAGCAGATCATATTTAACTCAGTAAATTTAAAAATCTGAGTGAAATGAAACTTAATGGTACCTAAGAACATTAACCTACATTAGGTTTTTTTTCCGATCATTCAGTTTTTAAATGAGTTACGAGCATTTTTCATTTACACTATATTATTATATGTATAACTTGCTGAAAAATTGAACTTTCGTAAATAATTTTCTCACCATCAAGTTTCATAATAGGTTGATTCACTTAAATTTTTAAACTAACGAAGTTTAACATGGTCTGCTGAGCGTAAATTAGTTATGCTACACACTTGTAAGACGGAGACAACAAATATCAGTGAAACATCCTCTTAAAAGTAGATACTTCTTATGTTATTTGTATATCATATATATAATTTTAACAATATTATCTATAATAAAATAATTGGTCATTATATATAATTATTTTAATTTTGTATTTATGTGATCATAGATTTCCCATTTCTAAAAACGAATTGATGACAAAATGGTTAAGTGCCATGAGGAGTAAACAATTTGAAGCAAGTCAATGGAGTCGATTATGCAGTGTTCATTTTACTGAACAAGACTTTCAAGTTAGACCTGGAGCACAACGATTACTATTAAAAGACAATGCAGTTCCATCAATATTTCCATCTCATCCGTCCTACCTTCAAAAACCAAATAAAATTCCTAGGAAAACCCCTACACTAAGGGACACTTGTAGTAAAGGTATATTATCATAAATCATTTTAAATTAATTTTCTGTAAATTTGTTTTATTTGTATGATACAGATGTAACTGTAGTTAAATTAGAAAACAACGTACATCAATGTGACGACATGCATTCAATTAGTAATTTTAAGAGTGTGGAAATACAAACTGAAACCTCTCATGCAAATGAAGAAATGCGTAAAAAGAAAATTAAAATACTACAGCAAAAACTACGAAGGAGAGATAAGAAAATTGAAAAATTAGTAAAAAGTGTAAAAAATATCGGACACAGTAAATTGTCAAATGAAAAGCAAGATATACAAAGCCTGCATTTAGATGATGTAAAAATTGTGTTTGAAGAAACAAATGAAAATTGCAAATCAGATAACACTAATCTTAATCTGGGCGGTATTTGCCAAGATTTAAGTAATTGCGATGATTTTGAAGCAACGATAAAACAGTTTGATGGGTGTCTTGATAAAATGAAACGTGCTTTTGATTCAGACAAAGCATACTTTCTACCAGCTATAAAAAGTTTTGTAAAATCAATGGAAAATAATGTAAAAACGCACGCAGGACTTTGTTCAGCTATGGAGAATTTTGGTAAGTACTCCCAAGAGTTAAACCCCAAATTGAACAATTCAAAATCAATAGGTAATAAAAGAATTGGAACCCAGACCACTGCAAGGACTAGACAAAAAACACAAACAGGAAGAAGAAACAATTTGACAGCTGGAAGAACACCGAACTGGAGACGAGTACCAGAACACGGTTACGCAATGAGAATAGGTTCAAATAGGTCACCTCAAAAGAAACATAAAACTCCTCATTCCTTAACACGCTGTATAGATATAAATTAAGCATTAGGCTCAACTCATAATTTGAAGTAATAATAATATGGAAAATCAACATTTGTAATATTGTTCTAATTAAGTTTTTAAGTTTATTTTTTTTAATTAATTGTTTGACGTCTAAATATGTAATAGTTACTTTAGTATTTAATTGTTAGTACATTTATTACATATTGTGTTATTATTTTAATGAGTATTAATGAAGTACTTGTTGGTATATTTTATAATATTTTGTATTTACCTCAAGTTAAACGCAACCAAATAAATGTTTTAAACAATGAAAAGAGTTTAATAATATAATAAATAATAATTAGTATTAGTCTGTAAATTGTAATCATATTATTAACAAATTTCAATTATCATAAATATTGCGCATACACAGATTTACCGAGTACCTTATCTAGTTCATATAGAAGTCTGTGCCATAGAACGGTGTGAATGGGTTCGTGGTATAATATATAGGCAATAACCTATAAATGAATCTAAATATCTTAAAAAATGTCAGTGTATAGTCAAATGGCAAATATAATGACGAGCGTAAAATTATCAAGTTCCCAATCCCAAGAATAATATTTTTGAGTAAGGTACATAACTACAATGGAATAACAAAAAATGCTAAGTAGGTGGTATTTTCATCCTAATTCAAACTTCAGATGTCTATTAAAAAAATAGACCTTACACGTTTTCAAGATTTTTGCATTTCTATACTAATCACTATTATGAACTAGCTATCCAAATTAAACATTTTAATACCTTTAAAAAACAAATTTTATAGCATTAGAATTTTGAAAACATTTGAACTTTAAATTACATTATTATGTCTATATATTTTTGATTAAATTTCCGTAATGTCTTATGAGGAACCCTTTAAGTAGAAAATTTCAGATATTTACAAAAAGCACAAACAGGGCCAAATTATTTTGAAAATTATATCATGTCTAAATACTAAATATGAAAATGGATATTTTATAAAAGCCTATAGTAATTTATTTATGAATTATAACAAAATGAACAACTAATTTTTTCTAAAACTGCACAAGCGTACATTTTCTTAGTTTAACCCTAATTTTAGTTCTGAGTGAATCAAAGAATGTACTTATAGATTTTAGTTTTTTTTTTATTTTGTGAATTTTGTGTATATATACTATACTCTGTTCCGTATAAGAGTGAACCATTCGGCTGACCATAACAAGTTTTGTCCGCACATTCCTACCACAATCCGGATGTTGGTGAGAGTTCCAACACGAGCGCCTGACACAGACGACTCTCCGCCAATCACAGAACACTTAGCCATAGCTTAGAGGATCAGGCACAATTCGGCAACTCAGTCTAAGTGCGAGAAAGCGGTTCACTCTTAGATGGAACAGAGTATAGAAAATAGAAAAACATTTGAAACGAAGATTTTCAACTTCAGTATCATTGAAACTTGAAAAGTAAATCTAATAGTCTCACATTTGAGAGGTAAAAATTGACAATCCACAGTTGTTTTCAAAAGAGTTGGTAAAACAAAATTAAATTAAGGAAAATTACGGAATTTTTACACTAAACCCAGTTTTTGATGAAATTGATTTTATATAATAGGCGTAACACACAAACAAATAATAATAAATATTTAAAATGTTCACAGCATTTATAGGCGAAAGAAATTTTCAATTTTTATTAATTTTTTTTTCAATTGTTGATAAAAAAATGTTTGCGGATTAAGAACTTGAACATTTAATCCAGGGTTTTTCATAGATGTTTCATACATTTATTAGTGTAATTGAAAAAATAAATTGAGAGTGAATTCACATTAGTTTTTTTGTGGGATAACACAAACTGTAAACTTTATTCTTGAAACATACCTTATAATAAGATTAAATTTAAGGTCAATAATAGTTTGAAACAAAAAAAAATTGAGGTACATCAATATAGCATTATCATCTACAGGATAAGAATCAACTTAACAACATTTAAAAGGTACAATAATATTGTAATAATAGTGAATATAAATCAATACAAAAATACATTCAAAAAAATAAAATGATGAGTGTCTAATTCATTATACATTTAATACGATGTAATTTAATATTAAGCTTAAAATGTAATCAAAGTTTAATTTTGTAGATAATTTTAATACTGTTTAAAAGTTAATAATTAAAAAAGCTTACTACACTTAAATATTTAATAGCAAAAGAAATGCTTTTAAAACTCTTAATGTTAAATATATCAAAAAAACATTTTGTGTTCTCATTTTATGGTCTCTTTCCAAAAAATAATCCATTTTTTTTACCTTGCTGAACCTAAAATATGGAATAATATTAATATATTGGTAATACAAGACTAAAATTGATAACATAATATTTAAATGTGAATGTAAAGAAGTATAATATCCTTTAGTAAAACTTAGTATACACTGTCCCAAAAGAGAAGAAACCACTTAATTACCACTAATACATTTTTCTCCCACTGCACAATTAGGTGGTCCATTTTAAAATTTACCAGTTAAATAAAATATTAATATGTATATTAATTAAGGTCTTTGTGAACAGATACATCAATCATATAACATCTCCCTAATTATTCAATTATAATTTTGATGATTTTTTGAAGACTCAGTATAATGGTTGCATTGTGGAGCCAATGGTTACTTTCAACTGGACGAAAACTAGTTGACCCTGTGTTTTATCTCTTGGGACAGAGAATATAAATGTCATAAATTAACATTATTCTCACATGCAAAATAATGGTTTTCATTATAAGTCAGAGCTATTGCTATAATAATTTTGAGAATCCACACTATTGTGCCTTTATTTAAATGACCTATCATAATATTTAAAAAAATATTAAAATAACAAATACTAAAAATACACTAACTAAATATATAATATAAGCTAACTATATTATGGTTCAATGATTATACATCATCAGGGCTCGTAAGTTCATGCATCTGCATGTTTTTTTTGCCACACAGGAAAACATGCTAACTGAGATGCAAATCCGTTTCATAACAATAGTAATAATAATATGAAGTTTGATAGTGCATGTTTTTGCATGTTTTGGGTGTAAAGTCATATTTGGCATATAGTTGATTTTTTACAGTCGTTAGTGCATATTATTTCATAAAAATATTTTTAAGACAAATATTTGAAAAGTTTCTTCCGGTTTTTGATATCTTGTTCCAATCGTCCAATATCGCATGGTAAATTATAACGGTTTTTTAAATTTTTTATTGAATAATTATTTAGCTAATTAATAAAAATATCGAAAATCAGGCTTCTTACGATTGTAAAAAAAGTTCTACTTTACAATTTTTATAATAGGTATTTTTACTGTAAACCACTTCAATAAGCCGTATAACTTGAATTACGAAACCATGGTTTTATGTCATATTTTGTCTACTTATGTGCCCTCTTGTTGGAAAACATAAAAAAAACACTTATAAAATATATATTACTAAATTATCTCAAAATGAAAAACCTAATATTTCATTCCAAATGTTTTCATTGCTGGTGCTGAATAAGGGTGTACACAAATTAGACAAAATTGACTACCTAATTAAAATTTATAAAGATGACAAAGCTATTTGAACTTCACAAGTATTAATTTTATTTTTTATTTTATTAATTTTGACTGTTAAGTATATAAAAATTAGGAGGAATAAAATACTTTTAAAATGTATGGATTTATTCTTATTATTTTAAAATTTGGTCATGTTTTTTTTACATAATGCATATTTTGAGTGCATAATTTAGAAATGTTAATGCATATAAATGCATATTTTTGAACTTTTAAGTGCATATTTTAATGCATATTTTGACAATTTTTAGTGCATGAATGCATGCTTATTTATGCATTTTTTAGTGCATGAAGTTACGAGCCCTGTACATCATACAGTACTATAATTATTGAAATTAAGTAGTTACAAATATACAGGGTGTAACAGATAGTACTGATGTTTAGAATAACTTTTGTTGTAATCAATATTTTAAAATTTTTTTTATACATAATTTAGTCACTTGCACTACATGTGTAATAAAAAAAAAAATATTTATATTTTTTAATACCGAAAATGAAAAATTTTAAATTTGATTTAATAAAATTTTTAGAATAAATTCAAAATAACCAATTTGTGAATCTGATTATAAGAGCAATTTGGATGGTAAAAACATTTATCTAAGTCAAGTAGTTTATTTTTTAGAATTTTTTTAAAAATATTATTTTTGGAAATTTGCTAACATGAGTATTTTGGCGAATAGATTTCTTAAATAAAATAAAACCTAATAAAACCGATATATATCAGAATCGAAAACTTAATATTACTATCTAAAATAATATAGGCAATAAAGATAATGAGACTATATTCAATACCTATACTAGTACCTATACTATACAGTATATCAGTTGTCAGTTGGTACAACACCATAATATAACAGTGATACTTTTAGATTTACCCGAACAAATAACTCCGTAGAAGGGTGGCACAATTATTTTTCTGCAATGTTAAACTCCTCATCCCACCCAACAATACGAAAGTTCATAAATACGTTGCAAAAAGAGGAGAAAGTAAATAGAATGAAAATAGAGCAATATGTTGCTGGGATGGAACCGCCATCAAAAAATCGAAGTGCTAAAATCAAAAAAATTTGTTTAGATTATGAAAATAGAACAATTGAATACTATTTAAGAGGCATAGCACATAATTTCCAGCTATAGGTATAATTATTTTTAGGCAACATAAATATTGTTTAATTTTAATTGTGACTTGTAATATTTTTTACTATTAGTATATTTTTTTAAATAATTTATTTTATTATTATTTTAGGGCACTACAAATTGTCCTACTATGAAAATTCGCTCGCAATCAATTTACGTGCAATTAATTGACCGCTATGAATTGTCGCGCTATCAGTTATCAGCTATCTATTGACGTATATCCGTATATTTCTTAAACTATTTACTAATCATACAATTTTATCAATTTTTGTCATAAGTTTAAGTGGCATCAATTGTTTTTTTTTTTTTTTTGTCAGTTCTTTCTGTTACACCTTGTATATAAATGTTATAATAATAAAAAACAATTAAATTACTTACATTTTTACTACCACTTTTTGTCTTAGAATCATCAATTCTCTAAAATAAAAATTGTACATGTTGAATTAAGAAGCAGTTGTTTAGGTATATAATATAAAAAAAATTGATGTATTTTCACTTTTTGAGTGCTTAAAATATATAAAAAGTAATATAAAGCATGCAAAAGTAAACAATAATAAGTACGCTTTCCCAAATGAGTGGTCCAAATACACTTAATGTCTTGGGTTTGGTACCTGGGACCAACGACAAGTACATTGTCTGCATAACTGGACTCTACTTTTACATTCAGTTCTTTTAGTATAATAAACAGTGGCATACTTAAGATCTGATACTTACATCATTTATACTTGAATTGGGTTTGTATGACAGGTCTACATCTCGATATGCCTTCTGTGCTTCAGAACGATATTTTTTTCGTTCTGATTTCGTGCAGCCTGCTGGTGGTCTCATGAAACATGGCTTTTCATTAATAGTTTTGATTACATTTTGAACGGGAATGGTTTCGTTTGAACGTTGCTAGAAATTAATAAACAAAAACATGGTTAATCACTTAGTTTTCAATCATTGATTAAACCATTTTACTATTGTACGTATTAATCATTACAATAGTAATATAAATAATAACATAGTGTTTGATTTAACTGATTGAATAGGTTTCTATGCAAAAAGGCGGTACACAATATTCTGTGGTTATATTGTATGAATAAAAATATATTATTTAAGCACATTAAAATGAATCTTATAAAATTACACATCCGATCGATATAAACCGATTAGAATTTCAACAGACTATTCTTACAGAATGTTTATTAAATTTTCTGCCATAAATTTGTTGACACAAAACATATAACAATGTATATTTAAATATTTACTAACTTGGTTGGTACTTGCGTCATCCCATGTTTCATCCACATCATCAATTATTTCAGGCACATTAAGTTTCACATCATGCTTAGTTTCTGTGGTTTGGTAAACTATTTGATCATAATTTAAGCGATCGGGACACCCGGCTTCATGAACCTAAGAATTAATTAGCATTTAGATAACATTATAAGTTCAAAAAATAATTATTTGATTCTTTTTTTTTTAGTAGGACAATTACTAACAGCCAAATGCAAAGCCTCTACCACGTGCAAGTTATTAAATGAACACACGGTTTGGTTCGGCCTCTTGTCTGGGCATTTCGCCAAATGCGTTATTAAAGATTTTTGAGGCATTGAGTGGGCTATGTTGAACGGGCAATGAACCACATTTGATGTGGCTTCCCTAAATACATGGCTATAATAACACAATACAATTTAGAAATTAAATTATTAAATTGATATTATACTTTTATTTAAAAAAATATAATTGACAGGATTGTGTTGTCTCCAAACGTACATCATAGGTACTAAATGTATGTTCAGTAGAACTAAGTTTGTGTTATTAGCTTAATTATTAGTGATTATCAACTTTTATCATACTATTTAAGTAAAGAATATTTTCTGATTATTATGTATTTTTTTTTTTTTTTATATGTGTTATAACTAATCAATTATTTTATATGCAATAGATAATGTTCTGAGTCAATTCATTTTTAAAGTCAGCTAACACTACCTTGGTTCTACTGAATGTATTTTTTGTATAATATGCATGTTATTATACTAAAAAAACAAATTAAATATTTTAGATTCTGAGCGGAGTGAAAATAGCTAGATTTTATTATGATGGGTTTTATAGTTTTATTTTTTTTTTACTCGTGTCTGTCGTTAAGTTTTGGGGCAGTAAAAATGCTTAATTATTTTTACTTTAGCATCTTTTATGGAAGGAAATCTAATCTAGTTTGCTACAGGGGCGGATCCAGAAATTTTCTGAGGGGGAGGCACACATTTTGAGGACATTAATTAATTATATTGGTCTTCCGATGTTATGCAGTTAAACCATTTAATTCCATTGAAGTTAAAATTGTATAACGATAATAATAAATGAATATTCTTTAAATACTACATACTTACTATAAATGTATAACCTATTTATCATTTCTGAGTTCTGATAAGTTCATCTTTACTACATTTCTATTTAATAAGTTGTTTAATGTTTAGTATTAACTTATATTAAAATTTAAAATAAAATCACAGTTTAATTCAAATGTACAACTTTATTTTATACTATATTCAAAAATAAAACAAAACAGAAAATAAAAAAGTTCTTACTATTATTACAACTTAAAATCCAATCTTCTATTTTTATCATTAGCAAATCTATTAATGATATTTTCAATATTATTATGAATATTAATATTTTTGTGAATGTATAACAAAGCTAGACCTGTTAACCTTTCCTCACTCATTCTAGATCTACAATTTAAATTGAAAAATGATGGCTAGTTCAATATTATATTTCGATAACGACGATAACGTCATAAACTCATAACGGCGTGCCGGCCGTTTCAGGCGTCGTTGCCTGAAAATATTTTGATAGTAATATTTATTTTTAGATTTAGATAAATAAACATGTTGAATGTAGATAATATTATATAATAATATTATAACCGTCGTGGCTGGCGATTCGAGGTTCAAAAAAGTGTCTTACACATTTATTATTTTATGGAAACATTGTTTACAACTAAATACGGGCTGAGGGGATGGCACGCGCCCCTGCGCCACCCCCTGGATCCGCCACTGGTTTGCTGCTTGGGGGGAGGGGGGTTGTCAAAAGTAGTTTTTTAAAGCATCAGGAAAAACAAACTGAAACAAAAAATTAAGGGAAACTTAGATTTTTATAGATATTTTTAATTTTAAATTTTTTTAGTTTTTTTTCCTATAAATGTGAATAAAAATGGTTTTCTAGGGTCCAAATGATTGAAAATATAATAAGTACAAGGTTTTTCATAAATAGTTAATCCTGTAACCAAAAAATATATCAACACCATTTTTTTCTATAGACATTTTTATTTCAATTTAGGACAAAATAGGATGTTTGTTGTTATTTAATAATATTATTTGTAAGTACTTGAAACTTTTAAAATATTTTCAAATGCAACATTTTCACTAAAAATGAATTCAACCTAAGGAAAATAAATTACTTCAATCACTAATGTCTTAAAATATGTTTAGTAATATTATAGGCTGACAAACCATCTTTGCTCAAAATAATTTTTATATAGGTAAATTAAAATGATTCTATATAATGAATTCAAATTTAACACATTAATTACAGTGACTCTTCTAGACACCTAATGTTCCATTTCCCGCTTTTTTAAATTACTTAATAATATGTATTATAACCCAAACTACATTCTGATTCAAATTGAGTAATACATTATTGCAGTGTTATAATAATTGCATTAAGTAGATATTTTGTAGAACACTACTTACTACATAAAACAGTTGTAAAAAAACTATTTCTGAATATTAAAAACTACTGAGACGTCACTAGACTGTATACAGTAGTCCATGGTACCTTAATAGGGCTGTCATATAGTATGCGGTCTACCGGAAAATGCGTTCTACCGGCCGCTGTAGGATGCGGTCTACCTGCGGTTTTTACATAGGCTTAAGTTTATTTTTAATAGATACACTTTAATCTTTTTCTATCTTTTAGATATACTTTATCTTAATTGCATTATACACAGATAACAATACTTCAACATTTTGTAACAGTATTGGCTCAATAGCTCAGTATGTCATTTATTGCGCGACACCACATTTTAACACCATATTTTATACACCCAATATGTTGGCAAAAGATTTTTATTCAATAATTAGTAGTGACGAATCAACCACAAATTTTTTAATTAGCAAAAATCTTGTGGCAAATAATGAAAATGCCGAATGTATTAAGTGTGGAAGTGCTATGAATTTATACCTACGTAAGGAGAGAGGTAAGGAAAGGAGAGTTTTACGTTGTAAGAGAAAGGGATGTCAAACAACACAAACCTTAAGGTGTAAAAATTATTCTATTAATAATAATTATACTACTAACAATTATACTATTATATAGGAAAGATAATGCTTTTTGGACTTATATTGACAAGAATGGTCGTCTAAATAGTGGACTAAGCCTCAGTCAACAGTTAGAACTAGTGTTCTACTGGACTCAAGGTTTATCCAATAAAACAATCATGTCCTTAACTGGAAGATCGTCCAACACCGTATGTGACTGGATGAATTTGTGTCGGGATATACTACTAAAAATGTTCGAAAAACGTAATAAATTTGGAGGACCTGATGTCATCATACAAGTCGACAAATGTTTGTTAAGAGGATCCAGAAAAAATCATAAAGGTAATTTCTATTTTATAATTGTATAATTGAATACATAATAAAATAAAATTTTACATTGAATATTAATTATAAAATATTTTAAATCATCATTATGTTGTTACAGGTAGACATCGACTTGCAGATTTGCCGAGTGAAAACATCGAAGACGAAAATGACGACCCTCTTGAAAATGGAAAAAGAAATTATGGTAGACGAATGGATGGTCCTTGGGTGTTTGGATTATGCGACGATAGTGAGGCACGATATTTTGTTGTCGAAAAGCGGGACAAGCAAACTTTGCATGACATTATTAAAAGAGAGGTTGTATTGGGTTCTATTATACACTCTGATGGATGGCCAGCGTATAATGGGATCGCCCAATATGGTTTTACGCATAACACAGTTAACCACAGCGAAAATTTTGTTGATCCACTAACACAAGCGCACACTCAGAGGATCGAAAGTTTATGGAGACCATTACGCTTAAAAGTAGTTAAAAATATGTGTGGTACAAGTCCTGATCTCCTTCCAAGGTAAAATTATTATAAGTTATGTTTAATAAATTTAATGTAATATTATATTATACATATTATTGCAGGTATCTCATGGAAACATGGTGGCGAGGAATAAATAAATCAGATTTATTTAATGCATTTTTAAGAGATATGGCAGAAGTTTTTGTATAACGTATTATATTATATTTATTTATATTCATTGACAACAATTTTTTTGACTAGACATTACTACTACAATAATTATACTATAATATTATGATATTTTTATTTTTATATTTTTTTATTTATTTATTTGCGGTAGACCGCATACTATATTCGTAAATCGCCGGTAGACCGCATACTATACTCGTAAATTCACCGGTAGACCGCATACTATATGACAGCCCCTTAATAGATATTATATAGACCCTTTATAGATTGAAAACTAAATGGATTTTTCCCTAAATTGGATGCAGTAGAGGAATGCACCCCTCTATCATAGAATTAAAATAATAAGTAGGTAAAAAAAATTACAGAAATATTATATGCTAATTTATAACATTTTGATAAATTCAATCCCATTTTCAAATCTGAGTCTTGGATATAATGTGTTTTTTGTAATAATAGTCAATACTTACACTGATTCCATTGTTGATCTATAGAATATAGCACGAACAAATAACTTTTATATTAACACCGAGTGAGTGGTCCGTCTTGTTTCTCAGGGTTGTGGTAGCTTGTGAATGTGAATTGTGATCTATAGTGACAAATTACATTTTTACAATTTACAAATTACAATATGCCAACCTTATGATAATATTTTTTGTAACTGAACCGTGTAGTGGACAATAATAATTGTCAAGAATAATGTAAGAAATTGTTAACTACTAATTATTTTACAACTATTAACAACAACCAAAAATAATAATAATAATGTAACAATAACTAAAAAGTGACAAGAATTTAAGAATCAACTTAAATATTAAATAATAAATATAAAACAAACAGCAAGTTAACCTAATCTCCACAAGAGTCAGACAAAATGGGTACGGAGGTTGCTTAAAGAAGCAACTGTACATTTGATAAGAGTTCAAGCATTGTTAATGTTGTCATTATGTTTTAAAGAATTCTGAATTACTACGCTTGTCGCTTATTGTTCAATGATACTAACCTAACCTAACATTTTCTTTTTTTTATAGTGTACTCCGTACCACGTCGTGTCACGTGGTCGTGGACCAATAGCGTTTTCGATTTGATGCACTTTTTGAAGTCAGTGCTCACCGAAATTGACCAAAATTCAGTGAACAGGTGTTGTATTTTGTATTCGATTAATCAAATCGAGCACTGACAAAACTCGTGTACGAATTTTCCCCACCGTCTATTTTCCCAGTGCAATCATAATCTGTGGGTCTGGTAAGAACGGATTGCTACTATTCTGTGCTACTGCTACGATAATCCACTATCACGATAAAATAATGCTCCCAACGTATATAAGTAATATACCAATCCGAATGTCGAATGCTACAAATATAAGTTTTCCGATTACACACAACTACGAATGTTGATCAAACTGGTATCCGTACATTTTCCCCACGGAAATTCCCCCCCCCCCGACTTTTTTCGGCGTAGTAGGACATTTCCCCCAACCCCCCCTTTTTTTTTAGATTCTGAGTGAAACGATGAATGTATTGATTTTACAATGATGTGTGTTTTTTTTAATTTTTTAATTTTTGTGTCTGTGTACACGATTAATAGTCGAAATAACGCTTCGATTTTCAACTTCAGTAACTTGTTCGATGGGAAAGTGAATCTAGTTGGTACTTTTGGGAGGTCAAAATTTAAAATTCCCAATAGTTTTCACAAGCGACAAGATTAACAAAAGAAAAATTAAGGAAAAACGGGAATTTTTACGCAAAATCGATTTTTCACAAAATTGAATTTGGTTTTTGGTGTAACTTTAAAACAAATGACCGTAGACACTTGAAATTTTCACTGGTTGTTTATATTTGCATTTTCTATCCACCATAACATTTTCAAAATATTTTGATTTATTTTGAACTGTTTAGGGACATTTTCATTTTCCATTTTTTTTTTATTTTTTTTTCTAAAGTTATCAATAAAATTGTATTTGTATTTTGTTGGCTGAAAAAGTTTGAAAATTTAATGGAAGGCTCCTAGTATATTGTTTCAAAGGCAGATGGAAAATATTAAAATTCCTACTCACAGTTTTTTTTTCTAAGCATTTAAAGTTCATAAATTGACAAAATATGGAAAAATCGCGAAAATTAGCAAATTATTTTGAGTTAAAAATTCGTAAAAATTTTTCTTTTTAAATCTAAGGTTTTAAAATGTAATACAAGATTCCTCATAACTCATAATTGCCTTTTTTTACATTTAATTATTTACTTTCGAATATAAAATTATTATTTTCAACACATATTTTTTAGCTTTTGTTCATATTTTCGATTGGAAAGTGAATCTAGTTGGTGCATTCGGGAGGTAAAATTTTAAAATTCCCAATAGTTTTCACAAGCGCCAGGATTAAACACATAAAAAATTAGGAAAAACGGGAATTTTTACGTAAAATTAGTTTTCCGAAAAATCGATTTTGGTTTTTGGTGTAAATCTAAAACAAATGAACGTATATACATGAAATTTTCACTGGTTGTTTATATTTGCATTTTCTATACACGATCAAATTTTCAAAATATTATGATTTGTTTTAAACTGTTTATACCTATCAACATCAAATTTCAAATCCACGGAGGTAATGACGTTCAACCCCTCCCATGGGGTGGTCCGCATGTGGTGGCGAATATCCCAAGGGGGGTGGTCTGCCACTGGGGGGGAGTATACGGTGTACCATGAACTTTAGATTGTTATTAAAACCACTCACATTTTAGGGTAGGGGGACCCATTTTATATTTGACTTTAGGGCCCCCAACTGTCACTGTTTAGACTACTATTAATAAATGTGAAAAATATATTATACGATAATGTTATGTTCTTATGTCCTAATGCGGTTATGCGGACATGCGGCAGCGATACACCGTACTCGCATTGGCGTAAATAGTGTTTGAAATTTGTGGGGGCTGAAGCTCAGGTCTATACTTGAAACTCTTATGATGCTTTTAAATTATATTAGTGAAATCATTAGTTTTTGGGGGGGCTATAAAAACTCCAAGGGGAGCTAAAGCCCCCTAGCCCCCCTCCAATTTGCGCCTATGCGTACTCGAAGTGTATAGCATATAGGCTATAGCTTGTATAAGTACCATACAATAATATTGATGATAGAATACTGCGGATTTCTCTATACTATCACTATATTATGTCTCTATCAAACTTAGATTTGTTTTATTCTTAAAATAGATCATAAATATTTTTTTCTATTACATTCCAATGATTTTATAAGACAGTTGTCCTATTAATGCGATTTTATAGATCAATAACATAGAAACAATATCGGCACCAAACCAACCTAAAATTAACTTAGGACCGTTCTTAAAATGTCCGGTTAAAATTAACCGACACTTTACCTGACATTGTAAGAACGACCTTTAAATGTTTTATATTTACTAAAAAATAATATTAATTAAAATACTTTACTAAAAGTTCATGCTATCACAAATATATAATACCTAGGTTTATTGTATTTTAACAAGCACTAAGCACACTACATTTTTTAGGGTACAAAATAAAACAGTTAAAAACATTTAATTTGAAGGTGGAACTAGTATTCAATGTTTATTTTAATATTATATAGAATAGTAAGTAGCTTGGGAGACTAGCTATAATGGCTCCAAAAGTCCAATTAAAGAAATAGTTTTGTCTTCACAAAAATGGCGAAAAACGCCAAGAACCGATCACGAGGCTAGCAATATCTTCTCTATAAATTCGATATCCATCATAGTAGCGACACACCCCTGACCGAGAACCGTGGTCCGTGCAGCTATTCATGGCTGACACCCAATAATACGCTGTTAAATTTTAGATTCGAGTGGAACGATGAATGTATTGATTTTACAATGATGTGTGTTTTTTATTTTTATTTTTTTTTTTTTGTGTCGTACGTTTTAAGACAGTAAAAGTGCTTGGATTTTCTTCAACAGTAGCTTTTCTGATAGGAAATTGAATCTAGTTGGTACTTTGAGGGGGTCAAAATTAAAAATTGCACAGTAGTTTTCACAAGCGCCGGGGAAAACAAAATAAAAATTAAGGAAAAACGGGAATTTTTACACAAAATCGGTTTTCCAAAAAATCAATTTTGGTTTTTGGTGTAACTCTAAAACAAATGAACGTATATACATGCAATTTTCACTGGTTGTTTATATTTGTATTTTCTATACACGATAACATTTTCAAAATATTTTAATTTGTGTTGAGCTGAATACGGACAATTTCATTTTCCATTTTTTTTTTAGTTTTTTTTCTAAAAATATCAATAAAATTTTATTTGTTGGTTTCGAAAGCTTGAAAATTTAATAGAAGGCTCCTAGTGCATTGTTTCAAAGGCAGATGAAAAATATTAAAAATCCTTAGTCACAATTTTTTTTTATAAGCATTTAAAGTTCAAAAATTGACAAAATATGGAGAAAAATCACGAATATTAGCAAATTATTTTGAGTAAAGAATTCGTAAAAACTTTTCTTTTTAAATCTAAGATTTGAAAATGTAATACAAGATTCCTTATAAGATTATCTATCTTTATCAAAAAAAAAAATGTCTATAAGAAAGTCAAATTAAATTTTTATGAGCGTTTGAAATTCAAAGTTTTACAACATTGGATATTCACTCGATTTCTCATGTAGCGATTTCCTTATTTTGTTGTAATTCAAAAACGAATAACTGTAGATCACGATTTAAGATACTATCTTAAATCGTGGTGTAGATACATGAAAATTTCACTGAATGTTTATATTAGAATTTCCTATAGGTACACCATTCAACTTTGAAAATATTTTGACTCTTTTTGAGCTGTTTACGGACATTTACAGCTTTCAATTTTTTTTAGTTTTTTTTCTATAAATATCAATAAAGTTTTATCTGTTGGGCCAAAAAGTGTAAAAATTTAATACAAGACTCCTGATATAATTTATCTGAATATTATTGTTAGAATAGCAGTTGAAAAATATTAAAAATACATAGGCACAGTTTTTTTATAAGCATTTAAAGATCAAATTTTGACAAAATTTATCAAATTTAAAATTGAATAATTATTTTGTAGTTAAAAGTTTATCAAATTTTCAACTTTTATATCTTAGGATTGAAAATTTAAAACAAGATTCCACGTAAGTAGTTAATTCTGTTACCAAAAAGTCTAAAAAATACAGAAGCACAGTTTATTTTTATAGGTAGTCATTTTAAGTTCAAATATAGACGAAATTACATAAAAAAAACCTAGAATAACTATTTTAGTTTTTTTGTTGTGATTGTGTAATATTGTTCATGGGTACTTGAAACTTCTAAAGTACACTATAATATATCTATGGAGTATGGACTATAATAGTATCAGGGTTTGTTGTTGACGTATAACGCGTTATAAGTACCTAATGGATATTGTGATATGATTAATTTGGAATTTATTATAGGTAGGTACCTATTTTAGGTAAATTTTTTAGTTTAGCACCTTTTTAGTTATTAGTCTCACATTGGACAGTCCAGGTCGTAACATTATAGTAGCTCTACAATGGGAACTTACACACATACATATATATTTCCAATGGACTCTAACATGTAAACGTCGCGGTGGGCTCTAAAACACCCACAGTGCGATAACGCACAATATGTGTTATTTGGAGGTTTCACCACGGCTACATTTTTGTCAACCATAATAATATCATCTTTTAATATCAGACACAGACCGTTGGGAGTTGGGACTGTCTATAAAGTATATGTCAAAGTCAAACTATAAACATTATAATAATATTGTATGATTAAATGCACAATATTATACCGCCGTTTTATTATCAGCGGTGAAATAAAAATAATAACTTATTAATAATATCAAGTACACCGTACTGGTACGGTTCCATCGTCTCTGGCAACGTTCAGTCCATTGATTATCAACGCCGCGATGACAACCATCTGTGCGACAAGGCACATGACTCCAAATGGTTTGTGCATTTTGTACCCACTGATGGCGGCCGCCACATTGAGGATGACCACGCTGGCGATCATGCACATGCAGTTAAAGAACAAGGTGTCGGTTTGCAGTGTGACGGGTCCGCCATTCATCGACATTGGCAGCGTGCACTTGACGAACCACGGCAGACCCAAACACAGTAGTATGTCCATCGTGTTAGAGCCCAGCGCACTGCTGATGCTCATGGACCCTTCGCCTGTAAAAGTTATCAAATGTTTATGCGATTTAAAACACATTTTTTGTCCTTATTACAAGATTTGACGGTTTTATGGCTGATTATAACCATATTATAATTGGTGCACTGGTATAGTTACTATATAATTATTAAACACTCATTATTAGAATAAAATAAAATTAAGTTTAAGTTTTAGTGTCTTACGATTAAAATAAAAAAACAGTAATAATAATAATACTCAATTACTATTAAATCACGTAAATATACACGTTGACGTAGTTGAATATTTTCAATTATTTGGTATATTATATCTATATGGTAGATTGTGTTAATATTGGTATGTTAACAAGTGTTAACCACATGGTTTGTACTTTACATGGAACCCTACTGTGGCAGTGGAAAGTAGAGTACTGGAATAGCACCCTATATATTGTCACATGGTACGTATAATAGCTATATAAATTTATTTTTAGTTTGTACCTACCTACCGTCAATGGTCAATGTTGCATTTAACTTTTTAGTTCTTACCGTTTTGTGCGTTTATTATGCCCGAAACGGCTTCGGGAATACTGCTGCCGACCGCCAAGACCCCTATGCCCATGACAACGTCACTGACATGAAACGTATCACCTATAATTGTAGTAGTGTGAAATAATATAAATGCCAAGAAATAAGAACATATACATAATATTTTATAATTATTGTGACAAACCAATCCAATACAAATAACAAGGCAGTAAATTGTAATAATGTATTAATGCACCTACGGATATGTCTAATGAATTTTTGCATCACTTTAGTTCTAATTTGCCTACCCTCTCCATTACAAAATAGATATATTTATATTATATTGATATTTATAGTTAATTAATAACCTAAATATATCAATATAAAAAATACCAACCCCAAGCGAGTTAGCCATACTTGAATTAGTCTCTGAGCCAGTGGCGTAGCCAGGGGGTGGCTAAGGGGGCTATATCCCCCCCATTGACCGGTGTTGAACTTAGAATTTTATCAAGATTAATAAAAAGCGTAAATAAAAAAACACATTGTAATTGTATACCTAGCCACCCCTCCATACAAAATCACTGGCTACGCCACTGCTCTGAGCTATTCTAGCCTTCAGTTGACTTCCAGCACACTCCTCCTAAATAGGTACACTATACCTAGTGCATGTACATTGTACACACAAAGCTTATATTACTCCAGGCCTAGCAATAATTTTATTGTTATAAATAACATTTATATGAGTTTGTATGGTGTCAATGATGACATGAACCTGATATATGAGTATGATTTATATAAATATTAAAATATGGATTCTACAAATAAAAGATAAATAAAACGCATTTATAAGAATAGATAAATAATAATATAAATTATAAAAGAGTACCTATATATCCCTAAACCAGAATTTGGTGTACATTTCAAACAGCTTTTATATATAGGTCTACAATGTTATACGTCCAGACATCCAGTACAAATATTTTTTAGATTCCGGCCCTTGTAGAATTAATTGACGGTTAAGCGCACAAATGTGTTAAGACTTAAGTGCAATTTTATTTTTAATTCATCATATTTCGTTCATAATAAGTAAGTTTTTATTTTTATATATTTTAAAGCGATATTTTTGAGTATTTAATATTATAATATTGGAAGTCGCATACAATTTCAAAATATGTGATTCTCGTTATGACACATGTGCGAGTGCACCTAAAAACTGATGTATAGATATAGCAGTTGTAAATGCAACACGTTTATACGTCCGCTTTTTACTTTTATACTTACCGCATATCGTTAAGAACCATGACAAAACGTACGTGATAGCGCTGACCCATATGATGGACATGACAAACGTGATAGGGAATAGTGATCGATTGGTCCGGCAATCCGGTATCGTGGCCCACAGAGCAAAGTTAACCGGTGAGCAGAACATTCGCCAGACGATCAGCAACATATTGCTCCCGGACGATTTTGATGGAGGTAAAATATAAGCTGCATAAAACGATTTATTTTTAGACCGAAAACTTAAAATTACTATATGCTAATAAATTAATAAAATATGTTTTTATGTATAACACATATACCACCATAAAATTATGCGGTCATATTATATTTTCGACCTACTTTGTTCATCGACATCCGATTGATCGCGTTCACTGAAAGTTGACTTCGTCGAAGTAAATATTATTTTCGATGACGCCCGCTCGCCTTCTTGCAGCTGGTGTTCGACTATTTAGAAAAAGTTAAACAGACAATTTATATTAATAAAAGGCAAATAACTAAGAATATAATGTTCCAGGTTGGCAGAATATAATATATATCATATAAGTACCTAAGAGTAAAAAATGATATAATGATATTATTACGTAAGTGGAAAGATACGTTTTCCATTCAGCGTCATGCTGATCCACTGTCTGACGCAAGACACTATTGGGAAAAAATACCTTATTATTTCTTAATATTGACAACCAACCTGTTCCGTATTGACGTATCTGTGTACCACTTCTGTGTAGTGTGACATTTTGAGATTTCATCGAAGCGTACTTTCTACAAAATATCAATCGTTTGATACGCTCAAACACAGGCAACCCTGTAAGTCGTTAGTACATTTAAATAAATTATGTACTTTATTGTAAACATTTATTATTTTTTGGACAAAAAAATATATCTTCTCGTCTATACTATAGTGTATGCAACAACAGTCTTCAGGTTTTTTCATACCATTAAATCGATAAAAGTTTGATGTAGTCCATCATCGACAACAGAGATAACGCCCCCCCCCCCCCGACCCACCCAGTTATAATGGCCCCTACCGGACTTCGTCACCGTGTCTGATGACATTACATTATGTCGATGCAATAAAATAAATTATATCAAGCTATCCGATCTTACGACTGTTGCATCTCCACTGTTCGACTGCTTCTACGAGCTTGTATTGCGTGAACAAGAAAACAAAGTATCCGAAGAACATGGTGACCATGATCAGAGCCTCGTACCACATGATCACGTTGTCGACGGCGATGGCGGCCAGAACGGCTATGGACGTTGCGTACACGGTGCTGTCCCGGATCAGCGGCCACTTTTCCACGGCAATTGGCTGACCGCAGACTGCCAGACCGGCGCACGCCGACACGCCCAGCGTGTTGTACACGCCGCTGCCCACCACAGTGCCCACGCCGAGGTCGGACTTGGTCACGAAAGTTCCGATCACGGAGACTAGAAGCTCCGACGTGCAAGTTGCCGCCGCCATGAACGTGGCACCGGCAACGTCCGGCGAGATGCCCAGATCTGAAAACCATAAAATACCATATTCCGAATTTATGGGCGCAAGGGCCCTTCCCCCCATCCATAAAAAAATATAATATAATTTGTTCAACAACTATTAAAAATTCAGTATCGTAAAAAATGTTATTTATTTAATTTCCCCCTCCGTGAATCAGGATCCGGACATCAAAAAAATATCAAAAGCCGGTATGGTGGGGAGAGGGGGTGTTAAAATAATATTCAAATCAAATACTAGAACATATTATTCTTCAGGACACTTGACTTCAAATTCTCAGAAAAAGGTCACCAGGACAGATATATCTGTTCAGTCTGCTTCCCTAAATATAGAGACTCTACGTCGCTTGAACCATTTTGGTATTAATACTATAATCTAGATTGATTGTACTGCAAGTGAATATTATCTTCATGGAAAATAATGCATACGTCAACCCCGTTGTGGCATTAAATAATTAATTAACTTATTCACTATAATAACCCTAATGCACCACAACGTGGTGTAAAAAATCCGGTGACAGGCAAATTACCCCTACTATCATTGAAACATGCAGTCATGTATAATACATTGATAATTATTGTATAATATTATGAATTAATATTGAAGAATGAATCCTCGACAGTGGTGTAGCTAAATTGCCTATCCACAACGCCGTGCTATAATATTGTAATACGCCGAGGTATAATAATATTGTATCGGGCATTGTACAAATTATAATGCTATCATCGATATTGTGAGGGAAAAAGGCCTGCATAAGACTATGTACTTTTATTGTGAGGTTACCCTTCATGTGAATAAAAATTCAAAAAAAATTTAAATTTAACAATTCAACCCGCATTTTTTGTTGGTTTAATATTTAATCCTACTAATATTATTTAAACACTACAAAATATTTAATAAAAACGTTCATCATACCTAAACATATATATAATACTGATGGTAGAAAATAGTCCTGACAAACAAATGTTATAAATAGGAATCCATAAAATGCCAGGATTAAGTGAACGATAACAGCTCCGTGACGTCTTTGTTCTTCGGTGAAGAAATCCCTGGGGAATTCGTCGATTGAACGGTGAATATTGTCACACGAGGTCGGACTACTGTTCTTAAAATTGTCTATGGTAAAATCCTTCACTGAAAAAATAATAGTAATAATCAATCAACACATATTAAATATATGTTATCGTCAAAACCAGATCACTAGGTAAATCAAAGTTTTACTGTTTAATACTAGAAATTAGAATTTACTAATCGTTCTTTGTAAAATCAAAAAAGGATAATTTATTTTTTTTTTTACTAAAAAAAAATGTTTTGTACATTTTATGATTTACAAACCATGTTAATAAATGCTATTAAGTTAAGGCTTCACAAATTTTGTTTTTGATCTGTTGAAAAAATGTTCTGACTTAACACTACCTTTCTTCCCCTGAACCCTCTATTTAAAAAATCAAATTATGATCGATAATTTGTGTTATTGCTGCTCCAATATCATGATATTATCTTAAAGGCTCTACCCGCATCTAGTTATAGTGTGTTCATTAAGTTTTGAATATTACCATTTTTTACCTTCCTATCAAACCTTTCTGATTTTTGCATATTTAACGTACCTATAATAACAATTATTTCCATTAGGTATACGCATTATAATAATAATACATTTTATATGTAAAGTAATATTTTTTTTGTAAATATAACCCCAATTGTTTAATTAAATAGGCGCGAGGGGTACCAACTAATGAGTTTTAAATGGAAACCATTATTATTTTTATTTTAAGATTGTAGTATAGTATAATAATTAATTTCTTATATTTTTTAGATTCTGAGTGAAACTATGAATGTATTGATTTTACAATGATGTGTGTTTATTTATTTTTAGATTCTGAGTGAAACGATGAATGTATTGATTTTACAATGATGTGTGTTTTTTTTTTATTTTATTTTTTTATTTTTTTTTTTTGTGTCTGTGTACACGATAAGTAGTCGAAATAATGCTTCGATTTTCGACTTCAGTATCTTGTTCGATTGGAAAGTGAATATCGTTGGTGCATTGGGGAGGTTAAAATTTAAATTTCCCAGTAGTTTTCAAGAGCGCCGGGAAAAACAACATAAAAATTAAGGAAAAACGGGAATTTTTACGAAAAATCGGTTTTCCAAAAAATCGATTTTGGTTTTTGGTGTAACTTTAAAACAAATAACCGTAGATACATGAAATTTTCAGTGGTTGTTTATATTTGAATTTTCTATACACGATAACATTTTCAAAATATTTTGATTTATTTTGAACTGTTTAGGGACATTTTCAGTTTCCAATTTTATTAGTTTTTTTTTTTATGAATATCAATAAAAATTTATTTGTTGAGTAAAAATACTTGAAAATTTAATACAAGGCTCCTACTATATTGTTTCAAAGATAGATGAAAAATATTAAAAATCGTTAGTCACAGTTTTTTTTTTTAAGCATTTAAAGTTCAAAAAATGACAAAATATGGAAAAATCACGAAAATTTGCAAATTATTTCGAGTTAGAAATTCATAAAAATTTTTCTTTTTAAATCTAAGATATGAAAATGTAATACAAGATTCCATATAAGATTTCCTACATTTATCAAAAAAAAAAATTCTATAAGAAAGTCAAATTAAATTTTTATGAGCGTTTGAAATTCAAATTTTTACAACATTGGATATTCACTCGATTTCTCATGTGGCAATTTCCTTTTTTTGTTGTAATTAAAAAACGAATTACTGTAGATACATAAAAATTTCACTGAATATTTATATTAGCATTTCCTATACACCATACAATTTTGAAAATATTTTGACTATTTTTGAGCTGTTTAAGGACATTTTCAGTTTACAATTTTTTTAGTTTTTTATTCTATAAATATCAATAAAGTTTTATCTGTTGGGCCAAAAAGTGTAAAAATTGAATACAAGGCTCCTGATATATTGTTACAATATCAGTTGAAAAATATTAAAAATACATAGGCACAATTTTTTTTTATAAGCATTTAAACATCGAATTTTGACAGAATTTTTCAAAATCTCGAAATTTATTAATCATCGTAATTAATAAATTATAAAATGTTCAGATTTTATAGCTAAGGATTGAAAATTTAAAACAAGATTCCACGTAAGTAGTTAATTCTCTTACCGAAAAATCTAAAAAATATACAATCACTGTTTATTTTTAGAGTCATTTTATGTTCAAATTTGGACGAAATTACATATTAAAAAACCTAGTTATTTTGTTGTTATTATATAATATTATTCGTGGGTACCTACTTGAAACTTCTAAAGTGTACTATGATATATCTATGATAGTATCAGGGTTTGTTATTGATGTTGATGTATAACGTGTTATAAGTACCTAATGGATATTGTGATAATGTGATATGATTAATTTGGAATTTATTATAGGTCAATTTTTTTTTAATACCATAGATATGTATATAATTTGTCTTAAACCTAGACTGACATACCGTCTTCGCTCAGAATCGTTTTTCTTATACAATGATATTGTATCATTGAATTCAAATTTAATAGCATCCATTATACAGTGACCCACTTGTAACCTACTGTACAGCAGAGCGACATCCATTTACCCACTATTTTTTTATTTGATTTAAATAAATACCAGTAAATTGAATTAGTAATGTAAGATTATACTTTTTAAACAAAATAAATATATGTTAACAAAGTAATATACACGTCCCGTGAGGATTTACCCATTGCAATATCTCCTGAAAAAATGGAGATATCGTAATTCTTTTTTTTTTAGTAAGACTCACAGGGACAAGAACTACAAATAGTTCATGTTTTAATTTATTTTAATGTTTTGGTAAAAAAGTTAAAAAATATACTTTTTATTAAATTATCTAAAAAAAAATCGAAGATAGCCATTTTGTAGAGTTCATTTTACTGAAAATATTGACGTTTCAACATTTTAATTTCATTAATCTCCTGATTTTTAATATTTTTTCTAGCTTCTAGAAAAACAGCTAATTATTTAATACCATAGTGGCAATGTGGCATAGTGGTAAGTGGTAACAAAAATGTGTCCAGCGACCCGCGCGTGCTCTTACGGTCGGAGAACGCTATCAGTGTGGCTCGCACAAGCATAATATTATTTTACTTCTTCAACATTTATTGATGAGATTTTAAATAATTATTGTACAAAAAATCAATATGTACATTTTTGTAATACCTAGTATTAAATATGGTTACCCATATAATAATAATAATTATAATAAATAGATAAAATAAATTTATTTTGTTTATTTTGTATTTAGTAAAAAAGATGTTTTGTCCGTAAACTATTATAAATAGGTAAGTAATAATTATTATTATAATATTTGATATTATAATCTTGCATCGCTTTCTAATAAGATTTGATAAATAACTTATTGATAAGGACTTAGATGTCTTAGGTAAACGCGACGATGGCGGATCTTACGCGGTGTATTTTTTGGACAGGCAAAGACTTAATTAATTTCCGCTCCCCCCACCTTATACGACTGTAGTCGTCCCTGCTGCACGACTTACGTCAGTGTGCTAGTAAGTTTATATATATATTATAATTATATAATTAGAACAACAGCGGTGCGACGACGGGTCCCGCTGCGGCGGCAGCGAAGTTTGCTTTTTGATTTTAAAATAATATGCAGTATAGCAGTGCACCTATATATACATATAATAAAGATATACGATGGTATAAATTAATAAGATAAAATACTCGAGAAATCGTTTTTAGAACTCAAAATCGATATATAATTTGACTAACTGTTGTATAGGTACCAGAGTTTTTTTTGCATTTAAATTCAAACCTTATCCTCATCTTTAATAGTGCTCATAATATCTAACAAATAATTAATAATAACGTTTAGGTGAATTATTTTAAGAAATCGTATTCCCAAGCGCTCTCAGTGATTCGAATGTCTGAATAATTAATCATTCTACTCATATCGTACTCGATACAATGTGATATTATTATTTTGTTATATATTTTATAATATAGTGAACCATTTTTACCAGTTGACAATAATTTATGAATCGTGAGGATGCTGCATCGCGCGGTCGTCGAGTGATCTCGAATATCATACCAGCACCGGTCATAATACGAGGTCGGCTCGGAACTGTTCCAACGTGTCGGATCATAACCGTATGATATTATATAGGTTATCTGGTTATAGCTGGACAGCTGGTAACTATATATATACCTAAATAACCTAAATACGCACTATACCGTGTGTTCAATTTTAAAGGTAACAGGAAATATTTCGATCGTGTGACATTGAATTTGAATCGGGGTTTTTATACTGCATTTAGGACTTATAAATACATATTTTTTTAATGAATTCAAATTTTTAATTTTTTTTATCAGCGCATGCGCAGTAAAATAAAAATTTCTTAAATAGCAACCACTATTTTGGAGACCGGATTTCGATTTCTTTATTTTTTCTGAACAACTTTGATCTTTACAGTTTGTTGATATCTTCAAAATTGCCATGTTTATGACTGTCGGAAGTTTTAAAATAGTTAATTCGTAAATAATTGTGTGGTGGATGATATCTCTCGGGATATCGTTCAGCATAAAGTGCCGCTGCGTTACGCGAATTTTGATGACATTCTCCAAAAATTAATACCATATCGGTTTTTTCGGAATAGTTTGCCATTGTACAGAAAATAATGTGTCACGCGCGACTTACGAAAAACGTTTGACTATTCACAATCAATTTTAGAATGCTATCAAAATATCTTATTCACACAGGTTAATAGTATAACTTTCATTATAATACTATTAAAAACAAATTAAGATAATAGTAGTAGATAATTTAGTAGTTTTAATAAAAATAAATTGTTATAATAAATAATAATACCTATAAATACCTATAAATTAAGATAGACCGTTGAAAACTGCAATATTTACAAATTAACTATTTTAAAACTTCCGACCGTCATAAACATGGCAATTTTGAAGATATCAACAAACTTGTATGATCAAAGTTGTTCAGAAAAAATAAAGAAATCGAAATCCGGTCTCCGAAATAGTGGTTGCTATTTAAGAAATTTTTATTTTACTGCGCATGCGCTGATAAAAAAAAATTAAAAATTTGAATTCATTAAAAAAATATGTATTTATAAGTCCTAAATGCAGTATAAAAACCCCGATTCAAATTCAATGTCACACGATCGAAATATTTCCTGTTACCTTTAAAATTGAACACACGGTATATATATTATATACTTACTGAATAACGTATATTGTATCATTATTATATGCTTACTCTTACGACGTTTTTAGGGAGGTTACGATTTTTATACTAATTTTAGTATTATTATTGTTTTATTACAGGTTTTTTTTCACCGTTAATCGTTTGTAATGTATTTTAAGTATATTATTCTAATATTAATATACATAATTGATTTATTTCGACGTAGTCTTCGAATTCATAATGTATATAGCATGTACAATAATAATAAAACGTATATTTTGTATTATTTCTATAATATTACAATAATAAATCTCGCGGCCGCCGACACTCTGACGCCAGCGCCGGACGTCGACGTCATACACGAGTACACTGTCTTAGGTATAATATATTATAAAAAACAATAATGACATTATCGATACAGTGTATAACAATATGATGATGATGATTAACGATATTACGATAGGATATTATTATATTATTGATATTATGATTTTTTTTTTTCGTCAAGTTTGTTCCGGTAAACGTAAATCACGCACTTGTGAGCGGCACACTTGCGGCATCGGTATTTTTTTTATACTTTATATAGATAAAAAAAGCAAATTTGTAAATCTGGATTTAAGAAAAAAAATTGGTAGTTGGTCTTTAGTAAAAAAGACGGGCCAAAATAATATAATCATGCTGGCCGATGAGTGCTCTCTGCTCGTCTTACCCGTCGTCTAGGAAATAATATTGATTTTCTTGACAACGGCGTAAAACGAAATCTCAATATTTGTTCACTTACAAATTATCGTTCGACGTCACACGTACACACATATTCACAATAATCATGTCAAACTTCGAAAACGAAAATATCGACACCGTGATTAAGGAGGTGATGGAAGACGTCATGGCGGCAGTGGTGTCTGATTCCATCGAGGTGACCATCCAGTCGGTGCTCCAGGACGTCGTAGCCATGGAATTTGGCTACGGAGAACATCTACACCTGGACACCGGTACCGATAACTTAATGGACAAAGATAAACCAGTTGGTCAACGCTATGGTTATGAAGGTGTCAGATACGTTGTCCTCCGTGCCGCACGTACAGCCCGAAGACGCCTCCCTAAACGGAGAGGTTGTACTGAGGTGCGGTGATGTGTAAGACATGTAGGTGAACGGCGGTAACATAGAAGTCGTTGTAGACGACCTTCCGACCGAGGGCTCATTTGATGCTAGGATCATGTTAGAGGTTTTGGATGGCAAGCTTGCTCTGTTAGTTGAACCCGCAACCCACGCAGTAACTTCACGCGGGCGGATAGATAAGGCGATTCGCGGCCGCCTCGTGGAGGGGAGTAAAACCGGCCCGGGAGTGTGGTAATTTGCCTAGGTTGCAACTAGCGATGCGAAAGACTCCGCAGAACCCAGCACCTCCGTTCCTCGGTCGAGGGCAGCAGGCAAGGTGAAGCGATGTGGGGTTGAGGTAAGGTACGTGAAAGTGCACTTTTTGGGTGATCGGAGGTAAGTCACCAACACTCGTTCTCCAGCCACCGGCGGTCGGGATACGCGATCGCGGTTGTCGCAAGCTGGAGGTGAGCCCCTCGGTCTGAGAGTGACGACGACGACACAACGACTAGCTAGCTGTTCCGGCACGGACAATGAGGCAGGCCCGAAGGTTCCACTGACGATGACTGCTATAGCGTTGCACGAAGACGACTTACGACGGTGGCGACGGAAACCGCAGAGCACACGTCGGGTGAGTGACGGACGACTATAATATTATTATTATATGGTGGCTAAGAACGTGGACGTCAGCAGCGCTGGATGCGTGGAGACGAAAAGTTTCAGGATTCGGCGGTGTACGACTCCACGGCGAGGATTTCGGATGCGTCTGCAGACACGGCGCAGACGGAATGCCTCTGGCATATATATACATATATAATATATATATAATACCTATATAACAGGGCAGTCATTATAATAGTAAACACTAATTATCTTGAATAGTAATTAGTATTGAAGATTTTAAAATGCTTTTTATTTACATATTTAAAAAATTAATAATATTTTTGAAAAATATTTTATTTTACTATTCAATTTAGTTTCATATTTACATCATTATATTTTAGTATTTTACAGTTATTTTTTAAGGCACTTCGCATCTTTTTATTCAATCGATTTATTTTCAAGTGTGAAGTAGATTTATATAACTAATATACAGTGATGGGAAGGAACGCGTTCCTTTTATAGGAACGAAGCTCGGAACGCGTTCCATTTAAAATATAGGAACGAGTAACGGGAACGAGTTCCTATTTTGAAGGAACTTGAACGAAAATTTCCGTTCCTCAAATAATGAAAAAAAAATATACATATAAATATATTTATTTTTAACACGTTGAGTGCCACAGTATATTTTATGAAGCGCATATAGTGTGTTTCCGCGCCAAAACTGAGCCGCGACGCCGCGGCCGTCGGTCGACTACGTGTCGTGTTCCGGGTCGTTGTGGGAGTGAGTTAACCGATTTCAGCGGTGGTCAATTTTGTTTTTTGCGAAAAAGTCAGAAATAATCGGTTAACTCTCTCGGTTCGATTATTTCTGACTTAAAAATTGTTCGCAAAAACGGGAACGCGTTCCTTTTTAAAAAGGAACAGGAACGCGTTCTTTTTTCGGGACAGGAAAGAGGAACGGGAACGAGTTCCTTTCTTTCAGTAGGAACGAGGAACGGGAACGAGTTCCTTTTTAAAAGGAACTTTCCCAACACTGCTAATATATATAGATTAAAGACGCGTGGTTTCATAACAATGGTGATAAAAAGAAACCACAAAAAAATATAGCTATCAGAATAATACCAACAATTATTCTAAAATATACAATGGGAAAATATATTCATGGCGATAGTGGTATGCGTATACTGCGATGTACCTAATCCTTAATAGAAATTCATTGGAGCAACTATAGGGTTGCAAAAGGGTCTTTAGCACCCCCAACTTTTAATTTAGCACCCCTTGTTTTTTAAGTCCAACTATCATTATTATATTGAAATACCATACATTTTATGTTTTTAAAATATGAAATATTATAGAACCCCACGTTTTAGAGGTCTAGTTGCGCCTATGTATAGCATATATTATTAATTGTATTTATTGGATATTATTATTGTAGACACTGAACAAAATAGATATTATTATATCAATCTGATTATTTTAATATAATATATAAACATGAATAACTGTTTATAAACAACTTCAGTGTGTTTGTTTCACCAATTTTTTCTTCGAGATTCTTAGAATATACACGAACTACTGACCAGTAGACGATTAGTATCATAGTGATGTGCGGTAGGCATCTGTAATTTGTAAACCAGAATCTGCTGTATTCACTATTTATCTTAACTTTTGTTTCCCATTTATTTTACTAATTAATTGTAATCCTAACCAGATATTTTATAGAACTATAGTTTTACTTTTGAACAATAAATTGTTTTAAATTTAATTTTGAGATGAATGAGACCTCCTAGTGGTAAAAATTCCTAAATGCTATTTTTAAAGCATGACTCGTTAGTATAATTTTACACTACTTTAGACATAATATGAACCTGTATGTAGGACACTATTGTTATGTACTTTTATACTTTTATTATCATAGTAAATTATATAAATATCAAAGACTGCTTAAAACCGGTAACCGGTTTGTAACGAAAACCGGTAAAACCGTAAATTTGAGAATCGAAAACCGATAACCGCTTTTAGTTTTGGAATGCTGAAAGCGGTTATTGGTTATCGGTAATCAAGGTAAATATCTAAATTTTAACATCAAAGCGGTTACCTTGTATTTTCAATCCCGGTTTTATAACCAAAACCTATTCCCAACCAAAATATTAACGGTTATTTCGTGGAATTTAATACTTGAATTATGTCATGATTACATTATAGTTGAATTTAATTCCCCAATTAATTGCCGTCGAGTCTGTTGTGAATATCATATAAATTTTCCTGTTCATCCATATACGTTTCTTTTAATTTATCTGTTAAAGCAATCTATACTCTTCTTGTTTGGTGCCTTTTTCGTAGTGTTTTCTTAATGCTCTCGTAAACAGATGTTTCCATAATAAGTTTATGTAAATTCATTACCTGTAACTCCTCTGGAATCTGAAAAATCCGATTGTCAACTGTACCAATAGAAGTCATAACCATAACGTTTGATTTTCCGTCTAACGATGATTTTACTGTAAATTCAAATCTCAATTTGTCCATGTTTATGCAAAGTAAACGCACCATTCTCAAATGGACTAAATGAGAGATTAAACCAAACATTAACAAATAAAATAAGATGTAAAATGAATGAAAAAAAAAAATTAACATGGACAACAATAGCACATCAATGTACAAAGAGATATAATGAAACCGAACACACAGTTACTGGATTTGCTCCTAAATATTTGTTGGAGGGCAAAGACATTACAATTGTACCAAGTGAATTGAAGAAACATAAGACACACAGTGAGCTATTGCAAGATAGAAAACTAGCATTAGAAAATAGTATGAAATCACATAATTATAATAAGGAACGATTTGATAAAAAAAGAAAAAATTATGAGTTCAATACAGGAGATCTTGTGTACATAGAAAATGGAAATCGGTTAAACAGAAAGAAATTGGATGAATTAAAAATAGGACCATACAAAATGTTGGAGAAGATATCAAGCTCAATATACAAAATAGATACAGGCCACTCAAAATCGCAGTCGAATATTTTCCACATCACTAAACTTGTTCCAGCTAAGGAATTTGCGGTCCTGGCCAGCGATGTGTTTTCTTTCCCGGTGGAGGGGGAGATATAAAGAAAACTATAGTTTATCTTTAATGATAATAATATTATATAGGCTCTTTTCTTATCATATCGGATTCGTTTGATATGATAAGAAAAGAGAGGTTAGATTATAAGAACTATTAACACCTTACACCAGTACCTACGTCCTACAATTTATAAATTTAATATAATTGTGAATTGTCATTTAGGAACGCATAATAACTTTAATATTGTTTCTTTATTTTACAGGTAATAATATTAATACAATATCTATAACAGTTATAACATTGTACAACTAATTAAATAAATTATAATACTTTATTTTACAGAAACACAGTATTGTTATTATTGGCAACCTTTCCTAAATAACATTATATATATATATATATTTAGGTATAAGTGTATAACTTAATATTATAAATACCGTCATAAACATCGTCGTCGACCGTCGTCCTCGCTCGCTGATTCTTATTACGAAATAGTTGATGGAAATAGGGGCTTAGTCTATTTAGTATTTAGTACTATTTAATATTTACAATATTTTTATACTGTCGTCTGTCACAATTTATATTTAATAGTTTTATACATTGGCAAATTAAAGCATATTAAGTTTTTGATTTTGTAATAATAATAGTTATGTTATCAACCCACGAATGACCTAAATGAACTGTTTTAAAAATATGATTAAAAAATTGAAAAAAATGATTTTTAAAAACCAGTTTTAACCGATAACCGATTACCAAAAAACCTTATCAACGGTTTTTAAACGATTAACGGTTGTCATATTATTTGAAATATCTTTAAAGAAACGGTTACCGGTTACCAAAATATCAAAATTAAACGATAACCGGTAACCTGTTTTCAAAAATTTTCGGCTATTGGAGCCGATTACCAACTTTATTGAGAGCGGTTTTAAGCCCTGATTATTATCAAGTAATAATCAAACTGAAAACGGTTTTCAATCATTTTTATAATATTATTTCATATAGATTACACCTCATTATACATTTATGTATGCGTTCCGGATTAGTTGGATATTTATGATCTGTATACATTCTACTTGATAACTTTTTAGAGTGATGATACAGCGACGTAATTCTATGTATTATATTTATGGCATATAAAATTATAAAAAATATTACATTATGACATTTTATTAATATCAGTAGATAGCGTATTTTCGTTGATATTTCTAAATGTCAGAATATACCTACGTATTTTAACATTTGAGTATTTGACCTCAAATAAATAATAATTAACTTTTATGAAGGTTTTTTAGAAAAACTAATAATATTTTAAGTAAAAAAAGGACGTATGAATAGGTGGGCACCTATTATAGATATCTAGTCTTATTTTAGTGCAGGTGGGATGAGATGAGGATAAAAAACAATAAGTATTAGTTTACCTGTCACGTGTTGCAAAAATTACAAAAATTATTTAACATTTAAAAGTTTACATTGAACACATTTCACCTACTCATAGACATATTCCATAAATTAATTTTTGCATCAGTTATAACGATTGAAGAATATTATTGTTTTAAATTTGAACATGAAAATCATTGAATTTGAAATACAATACCTATATTTGTTTCCATTTTATTTACTGTTATTTTCTCGTAAACTAGAGATTAGACAAATTATCTGTTTACTTTTTAAATTATTATCTGCAGTGTTCAATTATAAATGTCAAGTATAGGATTAAATTAGTACATGAATAATGTATATGCGATTGTGTTTTTGCTACAATGAGAAATTTATTGAATGGTAAACAGCTAGATCACCTGTAATAAAGACTAACCACTCCGATTTCATTATTTAGATAAAAATAAATGCAAGACAGAAAAAAATTATGGCACCAAACAGAATCAGAAATGATATACGAGTCGTATATTACGAAACTATAAACATACAAAAACAAAAAAAAAAACATATACAAACATACTACAAACGTATATTACTATATGGGAACGAATTGCACACTTTCATAATCGGACGAAAAATTACAACATTTAATCGATGACTCAAGTTCAACGTAAACTGCCAAGACCCTATTTCGCCTACTATAATTTATTTGTTACCTATACATTAGGCAGAACATATGCGTTGTATATTGTATTATACAAATATTACTGTCGCTATACAAGAATACAGCTACCTATATAGCATCATATGGGAAGGCAGAACTAGGATTTTTATTTTTTAACACCAGGCGAAAATATTCAAATTATACGCCCAATCTTAGAGTCTAAGAGTCTATCCAGTGGTGGATTTGAGATAGTGACACCATGGCGATGGTACCTACTAATGTATTATTATTCCAACTATTTCGTATTATCATATCATTTCCTGTAGTAATAATAGGTACAACGATTTAGGACCTTTTACCGGGGTAAAATATACCTGTCAGTTTATTTTCTTGGTTAAAAAATATTATTTGTTTTAAAACGAATATCTCCCGAGTGATAATCCAATAAATCTGAGTGATGGTAAATAGTAATATTGTGTGACTCTGTCTTTGACTAACCTGGGTCGATATGGTTAACGGCAGGACGATTTGTAGACGTATTACTGGAATGAGCGACGTTGGTTGGTGTAACGAGAATGGGCGAAGCAACCGTAGAGAGCAGCAGTACTGTGGTGATCGATGATTTGAGTCTGCGAAACATTATCACATAAACGTTAAGTACGATTATGTTAACCTATATAGACGACAACTATCGACTGCAATCCCGCTGAAGTGACAATATTATATTTGTATACAAATTGTATTATATAATATGATAATGCACAGTGCACGAAACCGATAATAGTCATATTTGTCACAAGTGGTGTAGATATGGTATTTTCTGTGATGAGGTGGAAGAAGTATATGTTATATTGAAAATAATATTATCAATAGTGATTTTAAAGTACGTGGTATTATTGTATTAACTATTTACTATTGTTGAAAATTGACCTACTAAAATATAATAGTATTTAGAAATGTTATGTCATTTAATCGTGGCCCGGCGCGGCGCTGTGGCTGCAATCAATCACGCGACGTATTGAGAGTAAGCAACGGACCTCTGCCGCTAGTTCTCGGATGGGTGACCACCCGGGTTTGAAGTGCGCAAAAACCTTGCCACACATACAATTGATCGTACCAACAGTACCAACCGTCCAAACCCTACTGTACCGTCTGCACCAACCCTATCAACCTACAGGCTAATACTAACCTCATTAATCAAAGCCTTAAAACTAATTTTAAAAAAAAAATTATAATTATTATAATTATAATATTATGTTAACATGGTTTGTGTATATTTATAAAGTATAATATTACATAGATCAGTTCGCCTCTCACTGTCATCGAGTTCGCATTTGCTAGCAATCGGTTACAATTTTTCTTCATTCCAAAAACCATTATTAAGTCTTAAGGGTAATAATGGTTTCTCCTTTAAAGCCATGCCGTCGTTTCTAATTTTTTACCCTAATGGTCAACCGTCAATACAATTTTAATTTAGTTACGGAACATCTAAATAACACAGGCTGGGAGTTTCATACATATACTATTAAACTGCCCACCATGCAAACGCCAATTTAGGGTCGTTATCAGGAATTTTCACCATTCCACACTCAGCATCGAAATCTCCAATGCACTGAGTGATTTAGGTCACTCAGTTAGAAACATTGAAAATATTTAAAAAAAAACAAAACAAATTTCCTTTAAGTACCATTATTTTTAAATATCGTAATCTCCCGACCAAATTCTAAAATATTCCACAATTTTAAAATACCATTGTGTGTATAAAATATAATAATGTACTTTTGAATATTTTATTAACCTAGGTTAGGTACCAAGCTACCATATTTAATATATTAACATGATGTTAACATTTTAATAGTTGTATGAATGCATTACAAATTATTAATCTAAGCCCAAGTTAAGTACTATTTTACCTTATAACCAAACTGATATAAAAATAAAACAGCAATATAAATTTTCCACTTAAAATCAGTTTAAATCGTGTGGATTGCTATGGATGATAAATTATCGCGTTTATAATATGTACTTCCTAGCACTTGATCAAAACCCTAAGATGTTTCGGTTATGCAACATATTTCACACAAATGTACTATTTTTCCTACAAACCCTTAGCACTAGAAACAAAACACTCAAGCGAAGATTAGAGCTCATATCCCGGTGAAATTTGCCATCATCCATTCGCGAACATTGTTAAAATTAAACTATTTAACTATTTTCCAATCAATATATAGGAACATTTTTAACGAAAAAAAAAAATGTGTAAGTGGAATAGTTGCTCTGCTTTACAAGAGGGTAACTGTAATGAATGGTGTTAAATTTGAATTCAATGATATAATAGCATTGCATACGAATATTCATTCTGAGCGGAGACTGTTTGTCAGCCTAAGATATTTGATATTATATTTATATTGTTACTATTAATACGGTTAATTATTATTATTTTGTTTGTTATTATAATTGTATATAATACAGAGTGTCCCCCGAGGATTTACACATTGCGATTTCTCCTGAGATAATAAATATAATATAATAAATCTGTTTTTTTTATTAGAGTCGAAAAGACAAGGACTACACATATTTTATTATTTTTATTTTTAATTATATATTTTTAAAATATAGCCATTTTATAGAGCTTATTTTTTTGAAAATTTTGATTTTTCAACATTTTATTTTCATTAATCTCATGATTTTTAATAATATTAGATTCTGAGAGGAGCGATGAATGTATTGATTTTACAATGATGTGTGTGTTTTTTTTTTTTAATTTTAAAATAATTGTTGTGTCTGTCATCACCTATTAGTTATTACGACACTAAAAGTGCTTAGATTTTCTTCAACTGCAGTATCTTTTCTGATAGGAAAGTGAATCTAGTTGATACTTAGAGGGGGTAAACATTTCCTAATAGTTTTCAAAAGCGCAGGGAAAAAGAAAAAGAAAATGAAGGAAAAACGGGAGAGCACTCCAGTAGTTCACCTCATTACCTCAACGATCAATTATTATTG